AGTGCTGCTCCAGTTTGAACCGGTTAGCGCTCAAGCTGTCTGCTCAGCAAATTAAACCCCTGCTAGCACATGCACAGATGTACGTCCCTTCCCCAGCTCTCATCGTGCTGACACTGGCTACAGCAAAGATGTGACACCACGGGTGAGTGGCACTGACATCACCTGATCATCACTGGGAACTATAAGGACGTGCCAGGGCCTGGCTGCACCCCCATGCTGCTGTCACCTGCGTTTACGTGAGCAAACTCACCATAAAAATATCCATTTATATTACGTTTATGCCTTCTGTTGTGCAAACTCTGGGCAGTAGAGGCTTGAGCTGAACAGACTATGAATCCCAAAAGCTTCTCCGAGCCAGGACAGGTTCTGGCTCTTCCAGATCAAAGGGGACTGTGAAAAATAAAACACCACTTGCCCCATCTGGCCGTTTACTCAGCTGCAGCCAGAAAGCATAAAAACCAATTTCCAGGTGTTTAATATCTTTCAAGTGTAAACTGAAGCCAGGCATTAATGTTACATTGGGTTTCTAGGCAAGAGATGAAAAAATAAAGCCCGGGAGCCAGACCAACTGGCCAGCCAGCTGGGCCCAGTACCTGGCCCTAGCTTCTCTGACCCTTCCATCAACCGCACAGGTTAAACAACAGTCTCTTAGGGCGTATGTAACACATGAGTGGACATGCACACCCTGTTGCTATTTACTTCAGCAGAACAGAAGCCTCCAGGACTCTCCTGAGAACATCCCAACACACTCCTGCAGGTGCCAGCCTGCCCTGCATCTCACACTCCCACTGGTCCTGGACCTAAACTCGTGCCTCAAAGCTGCTGAAGAGAATCCCTCTCCTTCACTCTCCTGCCCAGTACTTCCTGAGAGTAGCTCCCAGCTGCCTTCAAAAGGCCTTTTAAGCTCCACTGCGTCACTGGTTTCTCCTTGCCCCTAGTTTCTCATTATCTTCTTGCCTCCCTATCCCCTGAAGGGGTGGAAGGTGTGATCCAGGCTAGGCCACCTTCCCAGCGCGCCTGGGAACAGACAGAACTCAGCACCATGAAGCGCCTTCTCGGGGCAGGCAACTTTCAGCTGCAGGCCAGGTAAACAAGATAGATGGTATAACTTCACATTAACTGACAGGCAGGAATCGCACAGATGACTAAATCATCACTCACACTTCCATTCACAAGCCTGAGAGGGGCGGAATCGCGCCAACAGGTGAATCCCTCGTGCAACAGCTGATGACTGGCAATTGGGCAAGAACGTGAGTGTGTGGACCTATCCACAACTACGGGTTACAGCTTCCACCTTAGACACATCAAGACAGACTATACAATGCAGGAGAGCTAAAATTTATCTTTGAGGTTTCTTGTGTTAAGATTGCACTGCCTAACCTGAGAAGTGTTTCCCTGACCCAGAAACGCACCTGGCAAGTACCTAGCTGCCACTGCCTGAGCACAAGCCATAGATAGCCAGGAGCAGATGAGATACATTCGTGAAGATGAGCTCAGCAAGGGTGATGAATACAGCTTCACAGTAGCTGAAGTGTTACTTTGAAAAGGGAGAAAGACATGCTTGATGGGAGCTGTTAGAACAAGCTGAGAATTTAACTCGGGGAAAGCTTCTAACTGGGAGCTGAAAGTCAACTCAAAGAAATTAAAATGTCCATGAGAAATTGTAATTATGCTGAAATTTCAAGAGGAGAAAGGAATGGAGTGGATTATTGGATCATTTGCATCTTAGCTAGAAGGAACTGTCAAGTTTTCCAAGGGTTGGAAGAAAAAAGAACAGAAGAAACTGGTGGTATTCCAGAATTTGAACACTAGGCTTTGGTATTTCTTTTTGAGGAAAGGGATGAAATAAAACTCAGTTACAACTATTGAAATCTCCAAACTCCAGTAACATGTTAAGAACATAAATTTTCAAAACCACATTTTGGATAGCACAGGAAATGTTGATCTTCATTCTAAGTAGCAAATGGGTCTCTAGCACTTTAGTATTCAATCCATTTTCCAGAGATCTGTTCCTTTAATACATTTGTTTACAAAAGCTGTTTAAAAACAAACCTATCTTGTGCCTCTTTGAAATGTTAAGTGTTTAAACTCACTCAAAAATTGACTGATAGTGCAAAAATGAAGCTACTAATAGCTAGGCAAGTGATCTCAATGTTACTCACATGCACTTACTTTAGTGTCTGACCTCAGGTTATTCCAGCAACAGCAGACTGCAACACAAACTGCATCTTGCTCTTGGCAAGCAACGTGATGCACAAATATACTTTGATGCCTTTCTAATTTTATGTAAAACTGGAGTAAACAAAGTGTCTTATTTTGCAAATTTACCTGTCAGAGATTTTCTTTTTCTTTCAATTACATGTAACATGATAAACCATCACGTGAAGAAGATACAGGCAAAAGGATATAGGCAAAGGCTATTGCACCTTTACATGGAATATATGAAGAATAAGCAAGTCTTACTCCTCAGCCCTTTTACAAGCAAAAGAAAGGATAAAGCATATTATTAGCTCATCTAATCAGATGGAATTCAGGGATCACTAAAGAAATTTAATAATTAACAAACAAGCTTCAGTCAGTGCTTTACTTAGATTTCAAGCTCTCCTCAACAAGTATCAGTTTAAGGAAAATTACCGTATTTGCTTCCTGATATTCTTCATATAGTTACCTCTAGTCCCCTTTTACTAAAAAAAAAAAAAAACAAAAAAAATCAAAAACAAAAAAAAAAATCACAAATTTCCTAATTAAATAGCTAGAAATAAATGGCTAAACTTTGATTTAGAAGGCACTGCTACTGAAATACCTGTGCTATGTGTCATACTCATAAATGATCAGAAAAGAAAAAAAATAACAAGTGATAAAATCTGCAAATGGTACAGAATTATTGGAGTAATAAAAGCTAAAACAAATCACAGGAGGCAAGGTGCCCAGGATAATAAAAGGGCAGAGAAAGTCTGACTTACACAACATAGAAAATAATCCATGAAAAAAAAAGTGTGTACAGTAGTACACAAAAAAAACCCCATGCAATAATCCCTTCTAAATTAGCAATTAACATTCAGGCAAGTGACTGTGAAATCTTTTTGCATAGCTTGTTAAGGTATCAGCTCAGTGTTAAGCAGCAATCAAAAGTAAATTCAAAGTATTAGGATTTATTTAGAAGATCACAGAGTGTGGGGGGGGAAAGTTGTTGTATCACCATGTAATGCCTAGTGCATTCAGATCTTGAATTCTGCATGAGCACCAGTCCTCCCATTTCAAAAGAGCAACAAGAGTAGTTACATAATAGCTTCTATAGAAAAACAGATCAACTAGGACTTTGCAGTTGTTTAAGAAAAAAAAAGAGAGCATGGGCAAAGTCACTAGCAAAGTGAAAGAATGGCAAGGTATTATTTATGGTGACACTGCTTCTTACAGTACAAGAACTAGGGATTGTAAGATACTAAAAGCAGGTATAAAACAAGTACTTCTTACAAAGGCAACCTGCAAAACTGCAATGGGCAGCTTCAGAGATCAAGAACACAGATGGGTTTGAGAAGTGATAGGAAATACATGGAGAATAAATTAACAAAGCCCTTAAACAGAGATACAACTGTTGGAATGTGACACCCCCAAGCCATGGACAAAGTAAAATAATATTTGGGGGTGGAAGGGGTGATGTAGAACTGAATGTTACAGGAACACAGGTAACAGAAGCTAATACCAAACTGAACCACTAAGATTTAGCGAGTCCCATCAACACAATTTGCTGGTAAAGTTGAGGAACAACTGACATACCTCTCTAGTGGAGGGTAAATACTTGACAATTGCCATGCAGCAGGACAGGAATATAGTATGGGAAATTTTGTATTTCCTATCCAATAGCCTACAATTTCTACTAGAAGCGCTCACTGTAATCTGGATATTCCCCCACAGCAGCTCAGTTATACGTGCCCCGTCATACAGGATCTTGTCTCGAACCACATACAAAATTGTGCAAAATCCCATCTGAATGAAAGAAGGCACAGGGAATCTCCCTCTACCTCTAGCACATCAGTGTAGCAGTTGAGAAGGATTCCAAGTAGTTAGTTAAAAAATGCAGTACAAAGGAAAAAAAAATCCCCTATAATAAGGATTTAAGTTAAAATTGACCTTGAAAGAACACAAGGCAAGGGTGAGCCAAAGGCAGGTTTCTACAAACATGGCAATTGAGTCAGGCAGCTTTCAAGTATAAAGGAAAACTAGAAGGAGGCAAAGAAGTAGCCGAAGGCACCCATGTATTTAGATACTGTAAACATCAGGAGCTAAAAGAATAGAAAAATGTAAAAAATTAGCTAGCTCTGATAATCATGTTTAAATCTCCTCACTCTTTAATATCGCTAAGGAGGCACTCAAGAAAGGTATCAATGTTTGCAATAATTAGCAGTCCAAATCACATCGGAAGAGATCTTAATCATATCCTTAAACCCATCTAATCCCCTTAAGAGACTTTCTTAGAACTACTTTTAGGAATAAAAAGAGGCACTTCTGTGGAACTTTTGACACAAGTTGTTCACTTGCAAAACTGAAGCAGACATCCAATAGCTTAACGCAGGATTTCAGTTTCCCTTCAAGGACGTCATGAGTAGATGTTTTAGCTGAAGCACCTGGCACAGAAGTGCTTTTGTCAAGGCCACCTGTAGGCAGAGAAAGTCAGGAGGAATTCTTCACTTTAAATATTCTTTCTACTGCTCAGAATACACACACAGAGTATTGCACAATTCTGCCTTTCTCTAAGGACGGAGATGAATACTGCTCAGATGATGATCTTTGTAACATTCAGCTTACTTCCAGAAGTCCCAAGAGTGCTTTGCCTTGCATTTTTATCTACCATAACAGCTAACAGACATTGTGGAAATACAACTACACAGCTGGGGAAAACCAGGTAATGAATATAGTGAAAACAGAGACCGAACAACACGAATTATAAACCTTCTTATCTAGAGAATATGGCTCAACAGTAATTCACACAAAGCCCCAAATATTTACTTCGCAACTTTATTTCTTTATAATTTACTGGTATAAAGTTTAATATCTAATTATACAGTAATCTGGGGACTTTAAGGGAAGCTTATTTTGTCCTTTTTAGTGTCTTTTGCCATTTGGTCCTCAGACATGTTTTAGGAGGACTAATATTATATATGTACCTTAAATTTCTGTACAAAAACACTTCAAGTCTTCGTTTTGCTTTCTGAGTAGGATGCACAAATCATGCATATTGTAGACAATATAATGGTCAAGGAAATATTTCCCTCTAAACTAAGGCAGTTAAAAACCCATGAATATCAATCGAGTAATTTGGAAGAGTAAAAAGGCTTCCTCAGTGCTCATTTATTCTTTGAGCAAGTATCCTGTTCAGTAAGACATGCCCTCTTGGAATTATCATTGATTTGATGGCTGTCTGCATTGAAAAGACAGAGATTGTCAAAGACAGCATTTAATTATGTACATTTTATAATGTCACTAACCCATCTGCTTTTGAATACGAACTCATCAGCGTTAAGCATTGTGTAAAACCACATGCAAAAATTGCCAAAAAATTTTTTAAATAGAACCAAATTGGCAAGTTTTTGGAAAGGATATTTCAATGTTAAAAAAAATATAATCTATTAAAATGAGCACTTCAAGTAACTTAAATATCTTTAGCAAACATGTCCAGCAAGAAACTCTCTGTAAAAGAAATTGTTCTTAGAACAAAAAGCTAATGAATGGCTATTTAGACACTAATTTTTCAACACAGTGGTGGGTCTGTGTGAAACAATTTGTAATCTAAATAAAGTGAGTCCATTACACCGTTAAAAAAACATACATTAAGCAGGACTGATTAACTATTGCATTTCTGTATTTACAAAAGTGCTTAGCATAACAAAATTGCCTAAAAAAATATAAACTTTACTGATAATTGTTTTGGTTCTATGTGTACTCTTAGATCTGCACTTGGAGAAAAATAGTATTTACATTGCTAGATTTCGACAAGTTCCCTATTATTTTAAAGAAATTTAACAAAAATCCCCACACAAATGGACCCCTACGTTAGTCAATTCATGCCATCTGGCTCATCATAAATAGAGCAGAAGCAAATCCTTGAGTACTGAGTAGTATAAATAATGCTAGCCATTGTCTGTGGCATTAGACCCCAACACAGGCTGCCGACAAATTGGGCAAGTGGAGTTTTCAGAAAGCCAGCGGTCAATGCAATGAATATGAAACTCATGCATACAAGGTAACTGCCTTAGCTTATTCCCGGTTACATATTCATTAATGCAAACACTGCATGTTTTACTTAGTTCATTTTCAGTATGAACATCCCCATAGTTCCGGGTAGAAAGATTGTCAATCTGCTCTTTGGTTAAACCTCTTAAACGATCGTCATCATCATCTTCGTTCAGCAAGAAGAAGTGAGCAAGCTGAAGTATGGGCAGCGTTCCGTTTTCCACTAGGTTGTTAGCATCCTGAGACTGCCTGTTATCTTGGTTTTCATTATTGCGACCGTAGCGTTGAATATCATCACTCTGTCCATTTGTCTCCCCGCTGCTTTCCACTGCATGCCCATTTCTAGACGAAACCTCGCTCGGATCACTGCTATTGTTTGCCGAACTCGAGTTATTCTGCTCTGACTGTACATCCGGTAAGTGATGGCCACCTCTTTGGACTTCCGAGCTAGATTCAGTTTCCATTAAAGAACTCAGTTCTCCAAAGCCTGTCATAATTTGTCTAAGGATCGATCGGAGAGCCACTGATGAAGGTTCACCAAGCCCGGTCTCCGAAATCCGACGAAGAGGTATCCGTATAGTGCTAACGTACGTTCGAATACCCGCACGTTCTGATCGCGATATCGTACGCCGAAATCCCCCACTGTCACTCTCAAAGGTAATCGTGTTTTCTGCCATTCCTACTCTAGAACGAGTTCTACTGGCAATACTGTCCCGATCTCTGTTTTCTCCAGGACGAATTCTTCGCACCTGAAGATCTAATGTAATTGTTGGATGCCTTCTAACAGCAGCTACTGGCCTACTAGACTCCTCTTCTGAAGTTATCCCCGACGATGGGGCTACACTGGGAAGTTGAGGAGTCTGAGTGTTACCTCTTGCACGTTCTTCAGCAGGCTGGGAAGAAGACTGAGCTGTTTGTCTTCGGCTTCTGTTGACCTGCTGTGCACTTCGATCCTGCCTCTGCCCATGTTCCTCAGAACGAGCAGTATCACCTCGCCTTTGCAGCGGCGAGCGACTTCGACTACTTAAAGTAGACCTCAGCCGCAAAATTTCTAGTCTTTGGTCTGTATTCATCCGAACATTAGTTCCAGTTCTACCTCTTGTGACTCCTGTAGAAGTACCTCTTTCCTGCATTTCTCTTTGTTCACCAGTAGCTGCAGAATTATTACGTGTAGTATTTGCTTGGGAAAGACCTGTCAACTCCCTCGTTCTGCTCCTGAGCCTGCCTGAGATTGGATGATAGGCTGCTTCAGAATTTTGTGCCATGGAACTTCTTACAGACCTGGTCCTTGCAGTGCCTGAAGCCTCACTGTTTGCCCCTCTTGCAGTCCTGTTCCTTGTTCGCGAGGTTACTGGACTGACAGGTCTTTGATGTCTTCTTTCTAAATACATCCTGCTACTATCTATACCCACATACTCTTCAGCAGCAGTTTCAAAACTGTTATGCTCGTGATTAATGTTGATTTCAAGACTAAATCGGAACTCCCCACTGTTTGGATTTGTTCGACTCACAGCTCTCCAGGTTTGGTTCCCACTCTGTCCACTGCGAGTGGCGTTTCCCGTGCGACGAAATGTGTTCAGCCACTCAAGCAAAGAGTCACCATTTGAGTTTTCTCCAAGAACATCAGAATCTGAGAGAAACAGAGAATTACATACATTCATACTACTGCACAGTCAGCATACTGCAATGCACTCCAAATCCTCTGCGCTTGCTGGGCCCCAACTTTAGAAACAATACAGTAGCAGGAAAGCCACCTTGCTCTGCTAACAAATTCTGCTGAAAATACGCTGTATGTAAATAGATTAGCAAGACTCACCAGTTCAACCTAGAATTTGCCTCACCAGCAGATACAGAGGGAAATTAATATGACCAGATGGCCTCTTCTGAGAAAATGTTCAGATTTAGGTGGTCCAGAGTTAGTTGTATTGGTCCAATATCTGTCCCTCACTTAAGCTGTGAATTTGAGGGTATCCTAGTCAACTAATGTTGATAGAGCAAGGAAACATACGACAGATTTTGTCCTCTTTTGGAAAACATTTTTTAAATGTATTTTTTGTAAGCAGTGGAATAAATGATACATGGTTTTAACAGATTTGCTCCTTTTGTGTAAATATACTCTTTTCCTACTACAACATCCACAGCTCCGCTCCCAAATCTCCTCCAACTACCCGTTCCAGAACAGATACAATTGTTGTGATTAGTGCTATGTGTATAAAGCAAGCCAATCGTCAGGATCGCAGTGAAGGTTTTCCCTTGAAGGGATCCATCATCTTTCCACTTGCACAAAACCTGCAAGAACTCTGGCATCTGCATTTCCAAGCTGTCTATTCCTCTCCTAAATCTGACAAAAATTGGCCAAATGATTAAGCCAATATTGCTGGAAAAGTGAAGACAGACAGTGAACATAATACAAGCCTCATTCCATTAAAACAAACTGAAATGAAACAACAACAGAACAGTGGAGAGATTAACTGTTTTTCAATTAGGTTCTTTTCAGTTTCAACTTCACTCATACATGACAAAACCTTTTAAGAATTAAAAGAATGAAAATTGGTTTTATGCTATTAAATTTACTAGCAAAGGGAAACCCGGAAAAGAGGAGAAAGTAATTAGTGGTTAACATAAATCACTTTTCATGAAGAATTACAAGTTTGTGTTCATACAATTAGTAAATCGCACTTACTTTTACAACAACCTACAGAGGCACAATGATAAAACAAGACTTGAAATGGGTGGTACGGAAATCCATCTGCATTTCTCTTAAATATATGTACAGAAGAATGTTTATGCATCACATACTATGTGTGTGTATATATGTGAATGAAGAACGTTTACCTCCAACAGTTCTACCTTCACCTTCTCTGTTATCGAGACCAGTCTGTGATGCCAGACGCTCCTTAGCGCCCTCCAAGCGTTGCTGCAACTCTTCTGCTGTTATTTCCCCTGAAATAATTATCAAAATGTAGATGTTGTTAGACAAGACATTATTATTATTGGCTCAACACAGCCACAAAGAAGTAACAGTGTTTTCTATCTTGAATGAAAATCTTCAGAAATAAAGTAAAATTAGTAGAAGCAAAAAGAAAACAGCACTAGTGTGAGATTATAATGCAGGTACACAGAAAACAGAGGAAACAGGTACTGGGGTGGAAGACAAAAAGATGCTGAATGTGCATCAAGAGCATGCCAACTTCCAGTAACGACTCAGAGGCCCCCTGTGGGAATACAATGGAAAACTGGCAAAGAGGATTGCAAGCATGCTCAAGTGACTTGAAGCTGGGGTGTCAAAAACCACACATCTCATACTAGCTGTTGTTTAGCTTTGTATGCCTGACTGTGTTTAGATAACATAGACCTGTGATAGACTCAGAGGCACCTTACTGAACATCCTTGAGATACCTGTCCTGCTGTGGGATAGATCAAAGCACACTGGAAAACTATGCCTGTCAAAATCCCTGATATACACAGGCAAAAGCAGCAGGTTCGAGATCTTTTCTTTCTTGCCCTTTTTCTGGCTAGCAAGGAGCAAACTCCGCTGTGCCAGCCTCCCCACTTGCATGCCTCTGCCTGGGTGCTGCTGCAGACATTCCCTGGGTCGCAAGGTAGTGAGAATAAATTTATTATTTGCATTTCATCCATGGGTTTGTGGTTGTTCCTGCGTCCTACCTGTGTCAGCTCACAAACCCCTTGAATTGCCACATACCAACAGATATACTTTAGTGTACCAGATAGCAATTATTTGGGTTTGGATTTTAGCTATAGACAGATATGTTGCATTTGAGTTACATTTTTATTCCAGCTTTAGTATCTATTTATTAATTTTTACTGAATATCATTAATTTTGAATGGAAATGGCGGGCTTTTTCCTTTCTACAAAGCCACAGACATCAGGCTACTTGAGTCATAGAACCACAGGCAGTGCCTGACAGTAGTAACATTACTTCACATTACATCTTTTCTACTCAAGGTATCCACATCTCACCAGGAGTGCCAAGCAGGTTGCGGTCTCTCATTAACCTGTAGTCTTCTTCATTGAGTTCATTAATGAACTGGTAATAGGCCTCCTCCCTGCTGAGGCGCTCCAGTTGTCGTTGTCTCTCATCTTCACCATGACTATGCCCTCGTGAAGATGCCTGCTCGTTGCCATTTCCTCCAGGGCGCCAAGAGCGATCCATAACGATAATGCCAGGCTGTCCTGAACAAAACCAAAAGGTTACACTGCACAGTAATTACAGCAGGAATTTACCTAATTTACAGTAAAAAGTTCCCAGCATTTTCAATTAAACTAGTTTATTAACAGCTAAAGATGACTAAGATGAACCAAGCTCCCTGTTACTTGCCAAGTCAACACTGTAATTTATTTTGCAAGTATTTTGCTTCTATTTTGATTCTAGCTTGATGAAAAAGAGCTACAAGTCCCCTTTGCTCACTGAAAGGACATAGCAGTTGGTACAGCAACTTTAAAAGAAATGACAAGACTTTTTTTTTTTTTTTTTTTAAGTTAAATAAGGATATTCTAGAAACTTAGAGGAATAACATAAAAATCTATTTCCCTTCTCCCAAGTGAAATACAACAGCTGTGTGGTGTATTTTAAAAGCTAAACTGTCATTGAAAACTTTGCTCCCTAGTTACTGGACCATAATTATCCAGAATAGACTTCTGAGAACTACAGCTACTGCTTCAGAGAAGATTATCTTCCACCTGAAACATTTACCGATAAGCAGGTAAGACTATGTTAGTATCTCCATTGGTACTACCCCTCACATAGCACAAAGCCTGCAGATTAATTTTTGGTGGAACTGACTCTTCCGACATTCCTACATCACTAACATTTTCTTTGCACACTCTAATCCAATGATTAGCTAGCAAAGGGATATCCACCTCCAGAAAAACTATGTAAAAGAGAAAGGGCTATACTTTACCCACAGTAGTTCATCACGTTCCAAATACTGAACCAGTGGGACCACACTATTAGAAGGCATAAATAACCTTCCAGTGTCAGAAAGGAGCATCACCTCATTTGATTTCTATGCCATTACCACTTCTCTCTGGTTAGGACTCAATCCTGGGCCAGTCAGCTCTCGGACCACTCCCCAACTTTTCTATTTCCTGTTCTTCAGGAAGAATGTTGAAGAAAACCTGTTCTTCAACATTCAATTTGAAAGAATAGAAAGTGTCATCCTTCCAATGGGGCTTCCTGTTTAACAAAAGCCAAATGTAATACCTGCCGAGGCAGACACCTGACAAGAGATGTCTTATCTGAAGAGCTCACCAGGCCAAACCCACCCAATCGTATGGCACCTTTCTGCTTGCATGTGAATAGGGAACTACTGAGTAAATATATATATATATTTTTTTTGATCTATTCAAAGTCACTTCAAGTATGAATTATGGGGAAAATACAGAACAACACTCAGCACACTGCCAATCAGTAATTAGTTTTTACAGGAAAGGTGATGAGACAACAAACAGACCAAACCAACTAACTAGTAGCCATACTTTCAATTAAGAGCAAATCTTTATCAATGCTGCCAAGAGGTACAAAGAATCAGAAAATGTATTTGCCAACAGCAGAAGCTGGCATACATTTAATATACCTTTCTTATGTTCTTTGTGGGATCCATTCTGATGCATCCTTGGTCTCCTCATTTTCTACCCCATATGCTATTTCTCCCCCAACCTAGGTAACTGCCCTCTAAATATCTCTTCCCAATCAATCTTTCCACTCATTTGCCTCCTGTGTCCAATACTGCATTTTAATGTATTTAATACTTCCCTCCCCGCTCTTAAACTCACTTAAAAGAAATCAAAATTGAGTATCTTCCCCTCAAGACATTTTCTATTCCCATAATATTTGTGGGGGCTTCGCATTTACTGTCGCCCTCTTGACTCAGCCTCACAAGCTGTAGGTAACTGCTGACTTCCATTTCCCACAAGGGCCATGTTCAAATCAGGTTACTTTTCAGATCACATTTCTAAGCACAAACTTCTCAGCCAGCTCTTTGTCTTACTACCCTGGTTTCCTCAAAACAAATGCAATTCCCACCCACACCTCAAGAACACACTTATCACTATTATCACTGTGACAACACCCCTGACACTTGACTATTATCACGGAAACGCCCGATCCATACTACACTGAATATTCAAGTGCCTCTGTCCTAGATGACTTACAACTTGACACAGGTAAAGCACAGAGGGGAAGAGGTCAGATAAAATTCATTTAGTTCCATGTAAGGTCGTTATTTAGATGAAAGCCTTGAAACAACTGATGTGTTACTGTTTGCCCAACAATTACCACAGTAAGTTAACTGACTTTCCGGGTAAACCACTGTATTGATGCATAGAAAAAAAAAAAATACAGAAATTCTTAAGATGTAAAGTCCATCACATGTAGTCCTCCTCAGTCTAAATTTTAACTGTTGTTCAAAAGAAGTACTTTACTTTTCACTTCTCATCCACAGATCTGGAAATCTCTTCTTCAGATTTTGTGGGTGGTAGAAAAAAAAATTAGTTTTGTTGACAACTCTATGGTAGGATGATTAGTCACACTCTTTAAATGACTCACTTAGAAACAGTAAGAAGTGTGAAGTGTTCAGTTGTCCCATCTGTTTAACATAACTGCATGGATGACAACTACTATCCATATTTATCAAACACCATCAAAACTCAGCACTTTGCCACTTAAAATGTTTCAGAGTAGTGAAAGTTGAAGGGTATTAACTGCATCAAAATGGAGTACTTTAGCACATAAAATATTTCATATTATTGAAAATTTGAAGTGTACTAACTAGTAAGATGTAAAAACCTGAAATCAAAATACATTTATGACTCAGGATTACTCTTCCTTTGCAAAGAAACAGAGGCCACATGTCAACAGTTTATCTATATTTTCTAGAATTTGCAACCCAAGACTAACTCCTTTAGTCCTTCATTCATAGTTGATCTGGCCCATTCTTAAGATTTACTCTCATTTTTACCTAAGCAATGTATACCTTATGCTTTTAGGTTTTGGTCTCTTTCCATTAATTACTACCCCCAATTCAATTAGGTACTCATTTTCAAAAAGACTACCACCTGATTGCAAGCAAGACGACTACGGAGTTTAGATGAGGAAGCCTCCCCGAGCGATAAGGCTCTTTAGCATTTCTGTCACACTGCAGCCTCCAGGCGAAATGATCTCACCGACTTTGGCCAAAAAAAAAAAAAAAAAAAGATACAACCAAAAAGACCCACCTAAACCCAGAAAACCCCACCAGAGCCTGGGGAAAGAGGGGAGGGGAAGGAAAGACAGACAAAGGAAGAATTAGAAGGGAATTACGACAGGCAGGAGAGCACCCAAAGGATCCGAGCCCAGGGCCTTGGGGCCGCCCGCTTCCCCCCAGACCCCAGGCCGGCAAGCTGGGCCTACGGATTCCAGCCCCGCGTTCTCCGGCCCCCACCCCCGAGCAAGGCCCGCGGCTCAGGCTCCGGGCCCACGGGGCCGGGAGCCGCGGGTGGCGCGACGGGAGCGGGGAAAGGCCCGGCCGCCCCCGCCGCCGCCTGTTGCCAGCCACCTAGGGGAGGGGAGGGCGACGGCAGTGACTGACACGGCTCTCCCCCAATCACCCGGTCAGCTCATGGGCACCGACCAATCACAGCAGCGCAGGGAGGCGCACGTCCTCCCGCGTCTCTCCTCTTCAGACTCCCCGCTCGGGCCCCGCCACTAACCGCCACCAGCCGGACCGACTCCCTCCAGCGCTGCCCGCACCGCCGCCTCCCCCGCTCGCCGGGGAGCGGCATCACCCGCTGCGGCAAACCGGGAAGGCGTCCATGCCGCCGCCTGCCCGGGGAGATGGAGGAGAGGCGCGGTCAGAGAGAGCCGAGAACCCGTCCCTGCCTGCTGCCCGCAGCGCCGAGCGGGACGGGGAGGCCCGGCTCGGCTCGGCTCGGCCCCGCTCCGCACTCCCCTTCCCTAACCGCCGCCTGCGCCGGAACGGAACCAACCCCTGGGTGTGCGAGCAGCGCCGCTCCAGCCCCGATTCCGGTCCGGGCAGCTGCCGGCAGCCGCCAGCGCCGGTTCCGAGGACGCTGTGGCACGGCCCCGCCCCTCCCGCACATGCGCGCGGCTGCGGCGGGGGGCGGCCGTTGGGAGGCGCGTGTGCCGCGGGGCCAACGGCCGCGGCGCGCGCAGGCGGGCGGGGGCGAAGCCGTCACTGCTGAGGCGGCCGGTGCCTCCCGGCCCCCCCCCCCCCCCCAGTTCCCGTCCCCGCCGCCTCGGCCCCCTCACGGCACCCGCCTGCCCGGCACCCCTCGAACGGGCCGGCGTCGTCCGCGGCCTTGCACCGGCACCCGCGGGTTGTGCCCCAGAACGACGAAGCGGTGAGGAACGTACCCTTCGTGTGCCCTCGTTAAAGCTTCGAGCCTTTTTGTTGTGTCCCGCCTGCGGCTCTCCACAGTCCTTTTAAAACGCGTAGCGGAAGTCGTTTCAGGTACGGCGTGTCCGTAGCAAACCCATTGTTGGTCAAAACTCGCGTGGTTACTCCCGCCCAGGTGGGTGTGAGCCTCGACTGTGAAGGTAGATAAACTCACACAAAGAGGTTTTCACAAGACGGCACATTTTGGCTGTAGAACAGCCTCATCATGTTTAACCTCATAATGCCAATGACTATTACGTTTTACCAAATCAGCGTAAGACTGCAGCTGCAGTTAACTCGTTTGGTAATTCATAATAATTACATAAGGATTAAGATTATAATCACTTTTTTTTCCCTGCTCTCTCCTTCGGCCTGGATTTTAAATGGGACACTTCCCACACTATCCATGACCCTCTGCTTCTTTTCCATTTAGCTTTCTTTCCACAGGAATATCCCTTCACCTTCTGCATTTTCTAAAGCAAACCACTAATTGCTCAGTGCCGTCAAAGAAACTGTTTCAAGCTGTGATTTTAGTCATTTCGATTTGCAGAGCCTTAGAATCTTTTCACAGAAGGTGCAAACTCTTTCACAAATTGCATATATGCTAATTGCTGATACGCTGATAGCATCCACAAACTTTCTGAGTTGCTCCTGCATATTGTTTCAACACATGGTGGAAGCTGGCAGGCTGTGACAGAGGAGCGTGTTTCATGTCTTACATAAACTATTTGAATCAGCAAAAAGAGGATTTTATGAGAAGGAAGCTTTAACTGTTTAAAAGCACCTCATCCCTAGAATATCCGAACTGCTGATACTTCTGTTCAAACTTGCTTGCAGAAATAAACAATGTTTGGGTAGGTTTTTGTGCAACTGGTCTCCATGCAGAGACAAACCTTCACTGAGTGAGCTGATAGGAAGAGCTCAGGGCCCGTGTCCACGAAGATACCTCCACTCCCCACTTCAACTACGCACCCCAGGACTTATTTATTCTGGCTGAGAAAATGAGTTTATGCAAGTGTTACATTTAGGTTTCATGTTAGTTTACACTCCTTTTGTGCCAGTATGTGGTTTCCATGAGACAAATTGACAGTTGGGACACAATCTTAGCACTGAGGCCAGACCTGCTGCTCACTGTATGAAAAAAATGTAGCCCTCGTTGTTATTCATGTTCCTCACCACAGTATGAATAATTAGTACTGTATTATGACTACCTTTGCTTGAAGTAATTAAAATATGTCCTTCCTGAAGATCAATTTTACTTTCATAATAGAAGTTGGAGTATATAAAGTAGTGCCTGGACCCTTTGAAAAGTTTGTTTCTTCCCACAATTATTTTTTGTCCTATTTTTGAAATCTTTTCCTCTCATATTATGTTTTTAGTAATCATTGTTCCACAGTCAAACACAACATCTTCTCTGGTATCAAGCCCACATAATGGGCTGCTCACCCAGAAGAAGGTTATGGTTTAGATAGATAAATAAACACGTATTTCCATACTGAAACCTTATACTGAATTAGTTTATTTTCCACTGACCTGTCCTCCAGTGCAGAATTTTGTCTTCATGTCCTGTTCATACTGATGTTTCACAATAGCATACTAGAACTAAGCACAGTATTTGTTTATTTTATGCTGTGTTGTTAATACAAAATAACAATAGTAGATCTTACCTGGAATATTATTACTGCACTGTAGCAATGCTTTCCACAGTAAAATACTATCTTTGGAACTACGATGAAAATAGCCTATGGAGGGCAGCAAACCTCAGGCAATTACTAAATTTTGTAGTAACAGAAAATCTGTGACCCTAGTTTTAATTTGATTGTTCAATTAAGTTCTTTAGAAAGTAACTTTATTCCATTCTATTTTATTGCTTGATACTATATAAGTAAGGCAGAACCTTATAATCAGCTTTTTTAAACTGGATCTTAGTATGTGCAGATGACACCAAAGTGATGACATTAAGCTGATGTACTTGAGAGGAACCTGGACGGGCTGGAGGAACGGGCCATCAGGAACTTCACGAAATTGAGTGAGGACAAATGCAAATCCTTCCATCTAGGAGTGACCACCCTCTGGGACAATAGTGGATGGGGGCTTTACTGACTGTCCCTGCTGGAAAGGATGGGGGGTCCTGGTGGACAGTGGTTAAACAGGAGTCAAGAGTGCACCATGAAGGCTAAGAGCACTGTACCAAGGGGAACACAGACAGTGGATTATTGGGAAGTGATTATTTCCCTTTACATGGCTTTTGTTTGCCTGCACATGGAATATGATGCCCAGTTTGGGAGTAGAACAACCCTGATATGGAAAATTACTGATAAACTGGAGTGAGTTCAGCCAAGAGCACCAAGACAGTCATGGGCTGGAGCACTTACTGTGTGAGAGGCTCTGGGCACCAGGGCTTCTTCAGCTGGGCGAAGGGCCAGCCTGACTACCAACAAGGAGGTTACTGAGAAGACAGAGCAGCGATTTTTACCAACAGAAGGACAAAAAATGTCACCCTAAGGATAGTCAGATGGAGAGAGGCTGTGGAATCTCCCTCCACAGAGGTTTTAAAGACCTGAGTAGACAAAGCCTCAAACAACCTGAATGTAATAGTAGCCCTGCTTTGAGCAGGATATTAAACTAGATAACATCCAGAGACGCCTTCCAACCTCCATATTTCTGTGATTCTGTTTGCTGAAATAAGACAAAATAATAAAATAATATTCACTATCAGGGTTTATTTCCCCTCAGGTAGGGCTCTTTTCAATAGCAAAAGTAGGCAGGAGTTCATAGGCTGAATTTTCACGGCCTGTTAAAACTCTTGAGAACTGATTCTCTGGCTTCTTTGGGAGCATAAAACAATCAAGCTGATAGTTACTGTAGGTGGTCCTGAGTCTGGCAAACAGATGTTTCATTGAATGCAAGCACGACACTCCTATACATTGCCTGGATCCAAAGTACTGATTTATGTTTGCTACTAATTTGTACTCCTCAGAATCTAGGATGCCTTGTTAGATCAAGCGTATCACTAGTCTGATCAACTTTATAGTAAAATACACTTAATTGAAAAAAAAAAAAAAAAAACACAAACAAAAAAACAAACCAAACCAAAGCCATACAAAACTATTTGTAGAACCAGCACTTTACTTACCTGCTTTACGCAAATTGCATTCTTACATGCTGCCAGTATTCAGGTAACTCATCTGCTCATTAACAACTGCAAGGTTTCTGGAAAATACTGAAACTGTGCAAATATGATAGTTTGTTTTCTGTACACACAGAAAAGAAAAAAACCCCACCACATTCTTCTCTTGCCTTCAGCTTTCCCTGGTCTAAGCAAAAGTGGAGGATGTATTGCACTTAGCAGAACTGGCCCTTCTTCACTCAGTACCAAGCTGGGAACACCTTAGTCACACCGCTAAAGAATGTCCCTTTGGGAATATGGAAAACTTTTAGCAGGTAGCTACTCTTACATGAAAAATGATCAGAAAAACAAAAGCACGTTCAAATTTGGCAAATTAGCACATGGAACAAGTGGACATTCTAATGTCATGGGGATGTAATTGAGTGTTGTAGGTTATCCACTTATGAAAAACAAAGATGAAAAAGCAAATACATTAAAGAAAGACATTTCTGTTTTGTTTTTGGTTTGGTTTTGTTTTGTTTTTCTCTATTAGTGAAGACTGCAAAACACAGAGTAAGTAGCTTGTTGTACATTTCCCAGCTGTAAACTTTGATTCACAAACTCTAACACCGACACTGTGACCGTTATCGTGCAAACACACACGCAACGAAAACAACTTTGCTTTCGGTACTGCTGCTTCAGGTCGGGTACAGAATCCGCTGCATCTTATGTTCCTTACATTCGGAGACGATTAATGATGTGAACCTCCCTTGACTACTTTCCTCACAGCACACAGCTCGCTTTGCTAACTGTCTCCAACATGCTGCATGTTATTAGTGCTAACACAGTGACAGTCGCTTTACGATGGAGAGCTCAGATTTCATTTACAGGTGTGGTGATTTCAAACAAAAAATATCAGAAGTGTTTGTGTACAGGAATCATTAGAAATTACACAAACTTGGAGCAGAAGTATATGATAAAGCAAGCCATGAATGTTAGAGGAAAAAAAGAGAAAGAGGAAATCTCCAAAGAAACAAATTCAGCAAGACGTGTTAAACCTATATTTTAAAATTGATTTCTGAGACAGCATGAGAGGAAGGAATGCAAAACAAGCAGAGATAAGAAATCCTGCCAATTAAAAAGGCCACTGTGGGGACCTGAGAGTCAAGAATAGCAGATCATGGCCTGGCCATGTCTGTCTTTCTAAGCATGGAACCCAAAATTTAACTTTTTATTGAAATTGTATTACACTGTGACAGATTTTTAAAATAAAGCACAAGAAGTATGCAACTTGCCATGAAACAGAAGTTGACCTTGAAATATCAATATTAATTTCTCATTATTAAAAGAATCAAGGTGTGCTTTCTGTTCCAAATCTGACCATCCAGCTGAACTGGTAAAATTGAACATTGCCCACAATACAAGTATCTGAAGTGAAAACAGAGTGAAGAAGCAGCAAATTTACAGCTACACTCAATCTGGAAGGCATATAATCCAAATGTTATGAAAAACTAATGAAAGAAACATTTACAGAAAAGCAGACCTTTTGTAAACATTCTTACAAAAAGACCGAAGTCTGAAAGAGAAGAAAGGTTATTTCTATTGTGTTTTTGATTGCTCAGAGTTTATTTGTTGAGGTATGGTGTTCTTTCCATGCAGTTTATGTAAGCATGCAAAACATAGCACAGGTTCTCAGAACACAAGCCTGGATTCTGTATTCTTGGTTTCATTCATGCCCTCTTTTCTTTCTAAGCAGACATTGTTCTTCCTCTGCACCCTGCAGTGTTTTAGGTCAGGACAGACTAATTACCATGCAATAATTGGACCTGTGTGAAGGAGTTTGGATATTTATTGCCTCCATGAAAGAGTGCAAAGAAGAGTACAAAGTTACAGAAGAGTGGTAATTTCTACTTCCCTCTCCCTGGCTGACAGGACTGAGTGTTGTCAGCAGGCAAGAGGTGCTGAACATGCTGGGTTTGGCCATGCAAACTTGGTCCCAGCTGTCCCTGGAGGTCCCCAAAGCCAGGCATCCCCCAAGGCAGAGTCACGCTGCTCTGCTGTGGGCTGGGGCGGATTCATTTTATGAGGTGGATGGCACAGAATCATCAAATTGTTTAGGTCGGAAAAGTCCTTTAAGATCTTCCAGACTGCTTGATCTTTATGGGCTGCTGGGCAGCCCTGAGCTGTTTCTGGTTGATTGGCGTACTGAGGCGCCAGGCAATAATTGTATAATTCAGTTGAGTTGCTGGGCAAATACAATTTTGTTTTGCTGCTTCTCTGAATTGCAGGTATTTTTTGTAACACCGGCCTAATTGCTTTATCTAAGATACATAATATCACTAATAACTACATAGCAACATACTGAAGGTCCAGCTGTGGGCATCTGACATCAGTCGGACTGAGTGATGCCAGCTCAGGGGGCTAGCACACCCCTGTCCCCAGTTTTCAGGAATCAACCTTAATGTGTAAATGAAAATGGAGATTTGGAAATTAAAATTGAGATGATTTCAGATGGTTCCAGAAAATGTCGTTTCTTCTTTCAGAAGCCCCCACATTCAATGATATTTCATCTCTGTGTTAGGGATTTGAGTGCCCACTTATTTACCCGCATTGCGTTGAGATGAAATGTGAAGCCTATGTGCATGACTAGTAAAAGTGCCAAAAGCTGGGCTGTAGTTAGGAAGATTTAGTTTAGTTACAAGCTCTCTATTCTACAAAATGACCAGCTGGCTCTGTGTTGGGTTGGTAAGTATGTCTCTGTCAGCCAAGGAGAGGCACTGGAAAGTGCCCAGTTACTGGTCGCATGCAAGGGCCTTTAGGTAACAGCTTTTGCATTAAATTCCAGGAGCCGTGATCCTGATTTGTCTCTGCAGCCGTGCAGAGAAGGTTCAGCAGCGCTGTAATGTCTGTCTGTGTCTATGCCCAAACTCATCGAATCGTTTTAATCATAACGATGTTAACAGGCGGTCTGGCAGGTAGAGCTGGCAAGGACCAACTGTGTCTGCCCTTGCCACTCTGGAGAAAGACGGGGACCCTTATATTCACCTCAGACGACCCTGTTGCCACTCTGGAGAAAGCCGGGGACCCTCAACCGCCCCCCGTAATGACGACAGCCGCAGCTCGTGGCGCCTGATTGCAAGCCCCGCGCCCCAGCTCCCGCTGCCCAGCCCGGGGGGGCAGATCTGGGGCAGCCGGCGGGTGGGGACCCTGCACTGCTCCCGGTGCCGGCAGCCCCGCGAAGGAAGCCGTGGCTCCCGGGACTGCCCGCACATACGGCCCCCGCCAGCCCCGCTACCCGAGCCCGGGCCCTGCAACCGCCCCGGGACTGCAGCTCCCGGCAGGCACCGCGCCGCCTCGCCGGGCGAAGACTACAACTCCCAGCGTGCCGCGCGCGGGGAAAGACTACAACTCCCGGCATGCACCGCGCCGCCTTGCTCCACCCTCCCGCCTATACTACATCTCCCAGCGTGCTGCGGTGCCGCAAGGCATGCCGGGCCGGGCGAGGGGCGGGGCTCTGGTGGCGGTCGCAGCCCGCCGCTTTCCACGTGGTGCGCTGCCCGCCGCGCCCGCGGCCGGGGGGGTGCTCGCGGTTTGCGACGTTTTGGTTTGTTGGATTTTTTTTCTTTTTTTTTTTTTTTTTTTTTTTTTTTTTTTTTGCAGCAGTGCGGCCAGGCGCGGCCGCCGTATTCCGACGGGGAGACCGGCTGTCGTGCCGCTGTCGGCGGGGCGGGGCGGGGCGGGGCGGGGCGGGGCGGGGAGGCAGCGGCCACAGGACGGGGCCCGGGAGGGAAGGGAGCAGCCCTGCCGCCGCCCGCCCGCCCGCCCCTGGATGGTCCGCGGGGACGGCCCGGGGGCCTCCTCCTCCTCCTCCTCCTCTTTCTCCTCCTCCTCCTGCTGCTGCTGCTGCCGCCGCCGCCGGTCGCGGCGGGGCGGGGTGCGCGGCTGTCGGGGGCGGCGCGGCGCGTCAGGCGCTGAAGATGGACTATGACTTCAAGGTGAAGCTGACCGGGGAGCGGGAGCGGGTGGAGGACCTCTTCGAGTACGAGGGCTGCAAGGTGGGCAGGGGCACCTACGGGCACGTCTACAAAGCCAAGCGGAAGGACGGGTGAGTGAGGAGCGGGGCTTCCCCGGCCCCCGCCGCGGGCTCCCCGGGCCCTCCTGGCCCCCGCCGCCTCCTGCCCCGCGGGCCCGTGTGTCCCCCCCCCTCCCCCGGCCCCCCGCGTTAATGCCGCCCTTTCTCCGGCCCTGCCCCAGCTGCTGCTCTCCCGGTGCCGCGGCTTCTGCTGCCGCCCCGTTAAACCCCGCGTTCCGCCGCCCGGGCTGCGCTGGGGTCCCCGCAGGGCGCTCGGAGCGATCCCGTCCCCTCAGAGAAACGTCGGAGTCTTGTTTCGGTACGGGTAGGCTGTGGAGAAAAAAAATAAAAAAAAAAAAATACGTAGCGGAAGAAAAAGCTTAACTGAAGGGGTTTTCATTTTGAATACGTGGGTAGCTACTTACGGTGTTCAGCCTGACCAGGAGCTTCGTAGAACAGGGTTTGATTCTTTTTTAATAACGCTTTTTTGTCTGATTTATTACTTGTAGTCACCATTTTGGGTATTCTTGCTGGCTGCTTCAGCAACCGAAGTCTGCTGGTCCTTTCAGGGCTTTAGAATGCCTTGAAAGAGCTTTCCGTGTGGCCAGTTCTCACTACATACCCGAGTAAATGATTTTCTTTTCGTAAACGTTTTAAAGAAATATCTAGGAAACTGTCATTTAGGTTTCCTTCGTCCATGACATGGCATCACTCGCTGAACAGCAGAACAATAGGAAGTAGGGAGCAGAAGAAGCAGGAGAGGCACGGGTTGTTCTTGTAACAGGTCCTAAATTATAAATTACATCCATTCTTCCTCTTGCAGTCTCCCCATAGTGGTGCTCTGTATGTTGTCGTTCAAAAAAAAAATACGTATTTTTAAAGTCTGGCATTATTTTTGCATTTGATAAATAAAAAACTTTTAAAGCAGGCTGTGGTCAGTTATGGCTAAAACGTGATCTAGTTCTGTTTACATAAGCTTTAATTCTAGAAATGCTTTAGCCACTACCTACAGAACAGCGTCATGGGACTGGTCACACCTTATCTTGTCTGTTTTAAGCATGCCAATATTAATTGTAGCACTCAGTTACTTCAGCCTGAATTTTGTTTGCTGGTATGAGTCAGCTAACCACTTCTCAAATTTTACGTTTAGATCCTTCAAACTGCTCACAGGAGGAATTCTTATCTTGCCTGAATTTTTTTTTTTTTTCTGGGAGGGGAAGAGGAATAAACTGTTATCAGTGTGATAAGCTATTACCTCAAGTCTCCTTACATGCAGGTACTAACTTTGCTAGTGCAGGCAGCCCTGGTTTCAGTGCCAATAGAGGCACCTGCAATATGAAAAATAAATTGAGGTGCTGAAAAATACGACTGCATTTCTAATATTCGTGTCAGGCTCTGTGCAGCTGTTCATGTTGGACTGCAGCAGCACGTAGGGAATTCAGCA